TCAGTAAACGTAGAAACTTAAACGTGCGGTAACAAAACTAGTGAATTGACAACCCTTGACTAATTCGTAGACGACGTCGAACAAAGTCGATGTATGGAACGGCTGAACAAATCTCGATGGAATTTGGTATAGACGTAGAACGCCCGGAAGAACACATAGGCTACTATTTATATATTTTTTTAATTTCGCGCTGACAGAGTAGCGGGCGATAGTTAGTCCTATAGTAACAGTAGCAAACGAGAAAGCGAAACATCTGATTTTAATTGACAGTTGCCAAGAAAAGAAGTAGATACCTACCGTTATTAGACAGGAAAGATATCCCCGTATTATATCCTAGGAGATGGATAGAAGATATTCGGATGGGAAAAAGAACTTTTTGAACCAGTTTATGAAGACCAGAGCTTAATTAAAAAGGCCGTAAGTTTGTAATCAGTGGTATATTCGTACGCGACCCACATACCCCGTTTCATACGGGTCAGTCCAATGTGTGAGGGAACAGGCCTGCGGTTTTGCGGGGTTTCGGATGCGTTCAGTTTGACCTGTTTGTTACTGAGGAAAATACGTACGGATCACCACACGAAAGTGAAGATTGTATCCAAAACGATTTTGCAATAGCGCAAATAACTTAGGTTATGTTAACATAACCTCAAATTTTCTGGCATTAACTTGAAAATATGATATCACGCAAATATTGATCTTACTTTGTTTATTTACTATTTCCTAATATACCTAAGTTATAATAAAACAGGGAACATGTACACCTTAAATTCATCATGAGATTTCTCGTTTTAAATCCGCCCTAAGGTTCCTTACAGATTTATGTAAGACGGATGTCAAAACCCAAAACTTTGCCTACCCAACCGTATTGACTAATCATTGTACTATAGATATAAAACTTTACATTTTGTAGACCTACTTTCCACAACCGTAACACAGACTAGTAAAATTAAAATAGGCCGTCGCAATAAAGGGCCAGTATGCTAACCCGCGTGTACGTTCCGTAAATACACTAGCGTGCACATGAGACCTCCTTTTGTTCCTAACCAACGCATTGTAGGTAAACAACAAAAGCGATTTTTTATACCTGAAAAAAAAGCATATATTTTTATAACAAGAATTTCCCGCCAAGATCTGAGAAAATGGAGCGAAGCAGTGTTTTGTCTGAACTTAGAAAATGGTATTTAAGTTTTTAAACTATTGTCTTAATTCAAATCTTTATAAACATAAACTGTTTTTAAACATTGCGTAACACATTGTTGAAAGACTACGATGATATAATTTATTTTGATTATAATTTCCCAAATACTGTTGAAGAAAAGAAGAATGTGTCCATAAACCGGTCACTTCAGAACTGCCTCTTAAAGGGTCTCGATTCAATCTGTCGCTGGTTCGAATCCGACTCGAAGGACCAAATGATTAAGGAATTATAACTTTTTAGGCAAATATGTAATATGAACTGAAAAAGAAACCGAAGCATATTTGACATTAATATTCACATACAAAACAAGGAAACAAAAAATATAAAAAAAAAATCTGAGCCGGACCAAAAGGCGCTGTTGTCGCAGGTTAGTCCGTCCAAAAATTATTTAAAACCTAAAGTACAAAGAGGAGATTGTGAAATTTTTTACATTTACAGGGGGCGCTAGTGAGCTGACATGATTTAGTTTGACCTGGTCAGGTTGTCTTGTCCGGTCTATAAATATAAATACTTCTCTTTTCTAATTGACATTTAATTTAAAACCATTGCAACTTTTTAGACACAAGAAGACAAATGTACAAAATAAAATTGCCTTAGACATTTTTCATACTTTTAGTACGGGAGCACTGACTGGTGTAGTCGTTGCATCAATTAAACGAATCATCGCCGGCCAGCGCCGAAACTGATTCAATTGGCTAATTAACTCGATACACGACACGAGCATTCACAAATCTACGCTTGGCGTTGCTGAATTATAAACTTTAAAAACATTAACACATTAGGTCTAATATCCTATAATCCCTTTCTTCTCCACTCGCATTTTTAAAACGTATAAAAATTAGCATATACCAATTATCGCTTATTTCTTCACGATTTGCTGATAAATTCATTCCCATTTAGGTACTGGGTATGTATAATACCAAGTATTGGCAAATATACAAATGTCTAAAAATCAACAATATCACCGTACACAGACTCTCTGTTTTCTATGTTAAGCGACAAAACCTGGCCGACGACCAAAATCTAACGAACTGTTCTGAAAATTCTACAACTTTAGCTTTATATTGCGAAAACTTTACCACGGAAGAGGGAAAAGAAAACGATTATAACTTAGGCAAAGAATATTAGCAACGTTTAATAAAAAGGCGCAAAAATCCGCTTTATATTTTTAAAATTGGAACAAAAGTTTGGAGCTTTTTTTAAAAAAAGAATTTAGCATCCTGCTTAACAAGTTTGTCCATTGATTGCAAGCAACATTTTTTTTAAAATTCCGCGCTGAAAAAGCCGCAAAGAAACGCTTGTTACACTTATTATAAAATTTAAATAATTGTGTATAATTAAAAATATTATATAACCCTTTTTAGTCGCCTTTTTCTTTTATAGTCTATGCCAAAAAAAAAACTATGAAGCCAATTAAATGTCAGCAGTAGCTGTCAGTAGTATAAAACACAGCTCAACAATCTGTATGGAATGGGCCTCACGTGGCAAGGTGTTTTTTTTTTATCGTCAACACTACATCACCGCGATCGATACCGGCCAGTGTTATCTAACGCTGTTCATATTGTTTTAACGTCAGTATTTTAATCTGTGGACTTTTTAGGAAATTAAAAGACAAAAGAAAGCTACACAAAGTTTTCCTTGTATGTGTTTCGGTAACAACGTTTGATTGTAAAAATGTAATTTTAAGACGTTATTAATTGAAAATATTACTATTTATGCCTATAAACCAATTTGATTAATAAACGTAAGTTATTATTATTTATTTTTCTATTAATACTTTGCAAATTAAATAAGTTTAGTTTTAATTTTTAGTTGACACCTTCACTTGCCGTAGCCATGATGGAAATCATGGCCATAATTATTAGCTGTCTTCATATTAAATAAGGCGATATTTATGTAGTTTTGGTTTCTCTAATCTCGAAAAATCGTTGAAATTGATTAACAGTTTAATGATTTCGGTCATTATAAGTTATTTAGGGAATATTGTAACATTTATTTTGTATTATTTACAATCCAATAAGTTCTTCTGCAGTTATTTAGAGTATCCATACGTTAAAATCAAACGTTGGTGTTTTTTTTTAAGATTAGTCCAATATAATATAAACGACATGTACTTAGGCATAGATTGTGGATTGCGAATAAAAAAGTAAAGGCTGGAAACGCCTTTACGTAGCAAATTATTTTCAAAAAGACAACTTCAAATTGAACCTAATTGAATAAAAATTACAAAGTTTAATTAACCAACTAAAGCAGTACATATTTTTTTTAAACTCCAAGGAGCAACTTCGTAATTGAAGAAAAACAGTCTAGTTTTTATAGCGTACTAGAACATAGACAGATTCATGCAAACGGTATGTAATTTCTTTTTTTTATACTTTTTTTATCATTCATCTACAGAAAATATAGATTAGTTCTTACTGACTCAGTTGTAAAGCAGTCTCAAAAAGGTCTCCCTCTCACTGGAGAAGTATCGAGTAGTCACAATGAAACACTGGTTATATCTTGGTGCGAGTCAACTTATGGTAAAAATGTCGTAATTACAAGATCTTATAAATGCGAATGTTTCGATGGATGGATGGATAGATGGATGTTTGTTTGAAGGTATCTGCTGAACGGGTCTCGATGAAATTTGGCTTAGATATAGAACATAGTCTGGAAGGACACATTTTTAATTCCGCGCAGACGGAGTCGCGGGCGACTTGTTTATTCTATAAAAGTAGTGGATTATTTTAGAGTTATTGGATTCTGTCAGAAGGTAATATTTTTCGTATTTCGTATCTCTATGTATGAGATACATACACGTTTATGATATTTTATGCTAACCTTACGTTGCATTGTGACCTGTAACATTGTGTTACCTTAGATTTTCCGTCAGAATTTTGAAGTGTGGGTTTTCACTGCTGTAACACTTGTACAAAAACATATGACATCTCTTTTATTATATTTAAATAAACAGAGATAACAATATGTTTTAGATAAGAGTTTTTACAATGGAAACCAATAGTTGGAGATTTTATCCTAGTTTTTGATCTTTTGCGGAACAAAGAAACGATCAAATCTATCTGTTTTATAAAATTACCATAGGGAAATAGCATTTGTCCTGCTGACAGCTGGCATTTTAGCTAAATCTGCCTATAAATATAGCATTAGCCTCCTTATTATTCTCTTGACGTAGTCCATAATTTAATCAAACGTTTGTAATATTTAAAACAATTATTTAGTTTGCCGTCTCTTTGAAATACTTTTTTTCTCTGTGTAGATATTTCATTTGTATTGTATTTGTAGTTTATTCTGTTATATGTCGACTAGTTTTAGAAATATACGCTGAAAACCAATGGATTATTATGTGCAGGCTATTATCTTATCTGTTATCAGTTCAATATGATCGCTACCTCGGCGCGCTACAGCTCTCCGCTCACTTTGTTCAACTTGTAAACAAAAAAGTTCAACAAGAACTTGCTTAATTAGGTTAGACAAACAGCCTCACGAGCACCATACACTCGATGATAGTTTTGCACGGTCAAGGACGTACAGAAATGCAAACGTACGACCAACATTTATCAAACAGGTTCGCTTTAATAATATGTTGTAATGAAACGGTGTAAGAGCGACAGGCGACGGCGCGGCGAATGTTTTGGTGCGTGCGGACGCCGCGGCGACGGCAAAGTTTACACAACATCGCAGCGCACGCGAGCGCACCAATTTCATAAATACGCGCCGACCGGCCGACCATGAAACGCCCCACCGCAGCTCACCGCAGCTCTCCGCGGCCGTCGGCACGGCTCCAACGATAAACACTCACCTTTTTGACCTGGAAGTGCTCCGGGCGCAGCGTCTCCTGGATCTCCTGCTCGAGTCCGCGCGGCGCCGCCTGCACCGAGCCCCGCAGCCCGTCCAGCACCCCCTTAAACGTGAACTTCTTCATCGCGAACGCAGAGACGTCGCGGGTCCTTTGTCCGAGTGCCGGCCGCGGCTACATCACACCCGTCCGCGGCGGACAGAGGCCCGGTTTTGGCGGAGTGAGCGCGAGGCCGGTCCGCGACGCGCCTCTGCGCAGGCCGGCGCCTCCGCCGCCACGCGCGCGCCGACCCGCGATCGACGGCTTGCGAGGCACCGCCTCCGGAATGTACGGCAATGCGGTCTCGCCCGCGATCGATACCTGCCGCTGCCACGCTGCGACACACGCGCACTCCGCTCTTCGCACGCTCGCCGCACGCCGCACGACGCACGCAGGCCACACACACCGACACCACGGCGAACGTTCGCCTACTAGCCCGATAGCTGATAGCCTGCTTGAACGCGCGAAGCGTTCAATCGATATGGGCCGACGTGCCACAGAAAGAGATGAGCAGACGTCACACACGAAGGCTTATCGTCGCACCGCGCACACAAAAATACCAGCTGATGGCTGATGCTCGCTTTCGACTGTCAGCCATAGGTGGCGCTTGACGTAAACACATACGTGACTTGTCACTTGTCACTTGTTGCTGTCAGAGAGTGCAGTTCTGTCAAAACATCGGATTAAGAGTAAACTTTTCGTTAAAGAGTTTTTATTTAAAGAAATGTCGTACAAAACTATCGTAAGAAGCCTTCGGACACTAAGTTATGTGGGAAGCTATAAGAAAATACGAAGCCGACCTTATAAGTAAGTTTAATTACATCTTTTACACATAATACTGCGTTTACAATATCGTATTACAGTTGCTTTCTGCTTGGTAAAAAGGGAATATATCAACGTATATCATGTACACCAACATTTATACTTTACATAAAATTATTCTTACAAGGAAATAACAAAGTATAGTATAGAAGACATTATCAGATTAAGATAAACTGTTGACACAATTTTATCGAACTGTTATTATCAATGTTGTAAAAAACGCAATGTAATTAAAGAGTTATTGCCCCACATTCAACCAGTTTCAAATAATTACATCTACAAACATCACTAGATTGTTAAAAAACTGCAACATGCACAAATATCTGTCTCAAAGATCATACTCCTATATTTTTTCCATAAACACAAAAGTACTTGACCTATAAAACCTTATCATGTTTAATTTATACAATATTGAATAATTTGTCTATATTAAAATGAGATATTTTTTCAGATTTTACTATGCAGCGATAGTAGGCACAGGTTTTATAGCATACAACCAGATGAAGAACAACAAAGCCGAGATGAAAGAAATCATGCAGCTTAAGAACTATATGGCTGAACCAATTACACCTCTGGCACAATTGGAACAGAATCCTGATGATATGAAGACACAGATGGAGCTGCTAATCATGAGGATACAAGCGGAGTTCTGTAGAGCTCTGGAAAAAGAAGAAGATCAGGTGGGAGAGAATATTTTTTGTACATAAAATACGCATTAATGTTTCGTTTGTATTTGTTGTGATAAAATATTTTTTCCTAAGGCTTCTCTTTTATTATAGTTACTATTTTAAGTCACTACCATATAACATAGTCAAGTTTAAAAATCCATTTGTGGTTTAGTTAATTATTCTAGTATTAAAATCTCGGGAATCATGCTTTAGTTTGTTAATTAATTTCATAAATTAACTAGCGATTATTTGTGTATTTTACCCACAGCGTTACTAAAATATTCTATTGGTATTGACTTAAAATGTTACAGCTAATGAATTGTTTCCATTTAAAATATCCAAAAGAAAGTTTCTCTTGTAGGCATGGGAAGATGAAAAAACAGCTGATGATTATGATTTTGATAAAGACCTGTTTTTACCTTCACCGGTAGGAATTTTTCATTTAACACTAAGCTTATTTTTAATAGAATTAGTTTAGAATGTAAAATCAATCCTTGATCAAAAATCCTAAGATTATTAAATAGAAAAGCATGCATTTTTAATCATGAGTTTCAATACTAAAATTATTACTGTCATTTTTTGACATGTATGTCAATAATGTCATCGTATTTTTGCAGTGTATTATTTGTAAATAAATAAATTTATAAGAATTGATGTACAATAAGAGTTGCAACAATAATGAATACTTTCAGAAAAATAGAGGAAATCATTGAATTGTGTCTTGTACCAAAACTTAACAAGAATTATGATGAATGCAAAAATCATTTAGAATTTGGAATTCGCAATAAAAACTTGGATAAAAACTTTTACCTACTAGTAAAACAACTGGAGGCTATTAATTTCAGAGACTGTAATAATCCCGAATCAGTTATATCACAACTATTGATATTGTATTTTGAGCTATCAAGTAAAAACACGTGGGACGAAGCAAATTGTTTGAGATACGTGCAGGTTGCAGCCCAATGGATCCCCTCACTCACATCGAAAAAATGTACATACGATATTTTGACTTTA